GTGGTGGGGCGGGTGGGTCGGGGACGTGGAGCAGGCCAGAGCCGGCTGAGCGGAGGGAGCGGGCGGGTTGGTAGGGGGTTAGGAGGTCGCAGAGATAGGGTGGGGCGAGGCCATGGAGGGCTTTGTAGGTGAGGACCAGGATCTTGAACTGGATCCTCTGAAAGATAGGGAGCCAATGGAGTCGAGCGAGAATGGGGGAGATGGGGTCGCGGAGTCTGGTGCGGGAGAGGACACGGGCTGCAGAGTTCTGGATTACCTGCAGCCTGTGGAGGGAGGAGTTGGGAAGGCCGACTACGCTACAAGACTCCACTGAATGGTGCCTTGCCACTGGAAAAATGCATCAGAATGGGAGAACCCCGTGATGTTCAAGATCTGGGGTAGAAGCCAAGTTGTTGCACATTGGTGTGACATTCGTGGGGTTCCCTATCGGGGATGCACTTTACATCTTGAGGCACTGTTTATGTTGCTGTTTTTCCGGCAACTGCTATTTCAATCACAAACTGCATTTTCCTCACAAAATATACAGTCAATTCACTTTACACTATATTCTGTGAAGCTCTTTGAGATGTCTTTGATAGTACGGGGATCCACACACCAGGATCATAGTAAAGAGTTAGCTTGCATCTGAGCAGGTGTCTTGCTATAACAGTAAAAGGAAAACCACTATACTGTCACCCAAGGTATCATGTTTTGAGAGAGTTGCCGTTGTTGTCAACCCAGGGTCTATGTCTGTGACATATTAGCAACATTTTTTGCCTCCGAATTTTCTTAGAAGATCGTTTTCATCTCATTCAGGACAAATATACCTTATGGTTTTGTTTTGACTCAGTGAGTTGAGCCTTTACTTTCAATCTCACATGATCCTCTTCAGTTTGTGGAGGGATGTGTATTGCTATGTTCCTTGTCGAGCATACCAGATTTGTGCGCAGGGATCAGTCGGACAGCTATCTGTTGTGCACGTCTCAGGTTACTGCGTGTCCATATGTTTTTACTTATCTTGTTCTTGGATTATGTAGTGACGTCACGAGCAATGGAGCCAAGGCCACTAAAGTATGTTACCCGACGTCCATCCATCTGTTCCTCCCTGCGCTGTGAATAACTCGGGTCGTCCAGAATGAATGAATAAGTCACAAATTACTGAATTACCTGTAGACTTGGCATGAATTAAGGGAAAACTGCTCTACTTTCACACAGAGGATTAAAACTTAACTTGGTGACACAAATGCCATTAGGCACTAAGATACACAATTCTTTCATATTCCAGTAATATGGCAATAGAGCTGTGCTGAAACCGTTTTTTTTCCAAAACACTGCAGGTACAGCTGTTCACGCTGCAATCTGCAAGCTGTGTTTTAGCCCTGCGTTATACAAATGTAATTTTGTTGTTGTTGTGTTCAGAACTGAGGCTGTAACATTTTGAAAAAAATATTTTCTCCTGAAGGCAGTCCTTTAAATACTATAAAATAAATGCTGCAGCTCTATTTAATAACTGTAAATTCTATGTTTGACATAGAGCTGGGGGGCATATTGAAATAACAGAAAGTGTGTATATAATGATATTTCTATGTGCGTCTCAGAATTGTCAATGAATTTGGGGCATTTTATATGCAGTTGTAACTGATTTGATAACCTAGAATACAAATTCATCTTCCTGACTTCGAGCTATTCAAATAAGGAATAAAAATCAATAGAAACCAGGCAGAGGATATCTGGCAGGAAAGACTTCAACCAAACGTAGAGGATGACGTGTTTTTTTTTGCCTCTCACGGATTTAATTCCGTCAAATACATTTGAGTTAAATCTTTTGGCACACAAGCACTTGCCCTGATTGGACTTGCTCTTATTGGTATCTGTCCGAATCATTAGCATGGCTGCATGAATTTGTCAGATACATCAATGTGCTTCAAACTGATGTACTGTACTGCAGATCACTCTGCGTATCTCCTGGCTAATTAGGATGCACAACATCTTGTTCTTAAAATGAATGCAGAATTAAATGAACTAAAGACCTTGCCTTGCGGTAGGGGATTGGTTCAGAATTCCATCAATGTCCAACAGTGGCTACGTTTAGCCCCGCCTCACTCTGCAATCCTGTCTATCCAGACGCTTTGGGTTCATCTGCTTTCCTTAGAGCCACCATTCAGTTCAGCTTTCCATCCGTACAGGTTACAAATCTTAAACATGGCCACTTTCATATCGGTAAGTGCAGAATTGTATCTTTATCTGGGCAGTGTGTTTAGTTTTTTAGTTAGGTGCAGCCAAGGCTTGGTATTTATATGAGCTAGTTCCTCACGCAGAAAGCCGAATTGAAACCAATACTTTATAGATAAATCTCTTTTATGCACCATAAAAGAGGTCAGTACAGAATTTTGCTTGAAGTGTTGCTATTCTACTATTGAAATGATTTTTTTTTAAATTGCAATGACCTTCAAATATAAGTGTGCAATATGTTGCTCATTTATCCGAAGCAATTCTGAGACACCCTTTGAGTTTTGTAAAATTGAGACGGGTGTTAGGCATGGAGAAGAGCAGAAAAAAATAAAACCTTGACCAGCAGTTAGGTGGGTGCTATATTTCATTTTTTATAGAAAGATTTTGCCGCAAGGAATCTGTCCACAAAAATGTGTAAGAGCTTGTGTATCAGTTATGTAGGGACGTTGATTATTTTATTGCAGATTTGTGTTTAATTACCAAAACAGACTGTACAATGTCAGTTACTGGCTTATAGTTTTCATTTGCATTATGCTTTGGATCTTATTTAAATTTACTTAATCCTGTGATCTTATAATTTTAATTTATATTATCCCGAGAATATTGTAGTTTTAATTAAAATTATTGAGATAAGCAAATGTGGTGTTGTCAGACTCGAAGGAGTTTTGTATCTGCCTTGAGTTTTTTTCTTCAAAAAACGTAGATAACTGGTATCTGATTTATTGCGTAGTTTGACAATTGTGCGTTTCCACTGTTCAGTAAGCATGCTGCATGGCCCTGACGCTGATACAGTAGTCATTATTTCTCAACATCAAGGTATCTGATTTACTCCCTTTTCGGGTGGGAATGGAAGAATGCTAAGACTATAAATAAACTGAAAGTAGGGCAAATGTAAGAGATGCATAACAGTACAGTACTAGTAACTGCTGCTGTGCAGGTATTGTAGTTGCACATCTGTTACAATTCCTAACAATGTTATACAGAATTGCTTTAATTTGCTTTGTCCTAGCTCGCTGCATCGCTCCTACTTCATTGTAGAGTAATTGCTATATTTGGTTACATAACAAATCGCATCGGCTACGGTTGGAACTGCACATGGGTTTATTAACCATGAAATGGACTGTAAGCTTGAAAGCAACTCATTTCATGCGCGTTGAATAATAATCCTTGAATTTAATATAGCGCCTTATCACATCTTCGAGATATCTCAAAGCGCTTCACAGAAAATACTGTAAAGTGAATTGACTATATTTTGTGGGTGAATATTAACTTAGCTCAAGAAGAATGAATTCACAAAAGAAAAATCATGTTTACATTAAAGCGATAAGCTCGCATTTTCTCTGCAATCCACAGATGCCCTCATTTAAACATAACATTCAAGTGTATACAAAAAAGTACACAGTCACTATCTTTACAGTAAATTCTGCAAAACACTTTTGAGACGTCCTCCCGAGATGAAAGGCACTATATCACATATAAAGATTATTATTATTATTAAATGTTGAGGGATCATTCAATAACCCCATTTACATTGAACTTTTTACCAACACAAATATGATTGTTTTAAATTGTGTTGTTTTAATGATCTGAATTAAAATATGTAAATATAATAATGATAATCCTTGCATTTTGATGTAGTGCCTTATAATGTCAACAAAACAACTTGCATTTTATATAGCATCCTTCACACGGGGCAGCGTCTCAGAGCGCTTTATCATTGAAATTTCACAAAGCACTTCACAGGATTTACTGTAAAGTGTAGTAAATGTATTTTGTAGGCTAACACAACAGCCAATTTACACCCAGCAATATCCCACAAACAGCCATGGAGTGATTGACCAATTTTATTTGGGGAGTTGTTGGCCAAGACACCGGAGAAACTTCCTTCTCTTTTTGAATAGTGAATTGGATCGTTAATATCCACCTGAACAGGCAGATGGGACCTCGGTTAAACATCTCATCAGGAGGACAGTACCTCGAACAATCCAGCACACCCCCAGCGCTGTATTGGAGTGTCAGTATAGACTATATGAATTTAATAGCAACATAAGCTATCTCGCTATGGATTCTCACCACATGAAATCCTTGTCTTGTGCTCAGTTAATTCTGGTGCAACTCTGAGTGAGTTGACAATCAGATAGGAATTAATATAAATCTCTTCCCCCACCCCCACCCTTCTCCCCAGTATGCATACAGTTCTTATCCGTGGGGGGAATTGAGTCATTTTTGGGGTGCTTGGAGCCGTAGGTGGGAGACTCACCTTAGTTCAAAGAATATGCAGAACGCAAGGCAGCTGAAGAGATTGTAGTGAAGTCAATTATCGACAATGCAGGAATGAGACTCAAAAAACAACTTCATTTCTAATATTGACTCAATTGTTCAGCGTACACAATTATTTTAAAGCATTGGGTTGCTTTCGCAGGATAATGACCATTCCATAGTACTTTGCAGTAATTTATGGATGTTCTGCTTCTGTAGCTATTATGTAAGTATTTGTGATGCAAAGTGATTATTGTAATGTACTATGAAGTGGGGATTACTAATCTTTTCCATTTTTAATGCAATGAACCTGGTGATCTGCACTGAGGTACTGAATCCATAATTATTGTAATGATAATCCTTACATTTGTTATAGCGCCTTTCACATCAGGAGGACATCTGAAAGTGCTTCACTAAACTCTAAAGTTTAGAATTTTTGTGTATTTTGTAGGCAAAGATTCTTTTACATAAATCACGTTTTAAAACAGTGCATTCTTGTACAGATCAGCTTATCTTTTTTTCTGTTCTAGCTGGTTACCTGCTACACATGTAATGAAACCTCAAGATGCTATGGAGCAAATAGAGCCGCCCTGATTGCAGCGTCGGGTAGATTAGCCAGGTCAAAACTGGGCGCAAAGGCACCCGAAGTCCAAAGACACCAACAGACCCCAGGCCTGGCGATGGGTTATTCCCAGCATCTGAACAAGCCAGGATCAAAAGGCAAGAATCCAACTACAGCTCCAAGGTAATTGTAATGTGTTTATTTTTTATCGCTTAGTTTCTTAGAGATGTCTATGTAGGTCCATCTGCAATTTGTATCAACCTTTTCAGCAAACCCAGTTGTGATGAGGCAGAAGCATTGTTTGTTTCTAAAAATCTGTTTTACCCAACCTTGTTTGTAATAAAAGTAATACGTGCATTTGGTTTAATTATACTGAAATTACTCATCAGTGGGGCACTTTATTAAGTGTAGTGACTTGTTACACAACCAAATATGATATCTAATATGTATCAGCAATAGTTCCAGAAACAGCAAAAAGATGAATGACAAATTGATTTCATGATTAGTGTTTAGTTAATTCAATATAGGGAGAATATTGGCCAGAACAGAAGTGAAATTATCCGTCAGTCTTCAAAATAGTGCCTTAAGGGATCTTTAACATCTACCTGAACCACCAGAGCAAGTAGATGTAAGTAGAAGTTAATGTGTCATTTGACGGAATGCATCTCTGGCAATGTAGTGCAATGTACTCCCAGTACTGTATTGGATACATAATCCAATTTATATTTCTGTGACATCTCTCATATGGAGTTTCATTTGTTGTATGTGCACTCCATTCAAAGAATGTTGCACTGGTGTGAAGCGTGACTGCACAAAATTCAGAAAGTAGGGATGTACACGGAAAAGTAGGTTAATGGCCCTTAATAGGCATTTACAACAAATGTACTGTAGAGTATTGTTGTTGAAGAGGTTAAAACAGCTGAGATGAACAGCCACAAAATAGCATGCAAAACAAAATAACACATCAAGTGCCGACTTAGCTCAGTTGCTGGCATTTTTACCTCTGGATCACACTCCACCTCACTGAGTCAGTCTGGAACCTTGGCATCTTGTTTGACCCTCAACTATCCTTTGTATCCCACATCCGTGCCATGACCCGCTCTGCCTTCCCCCACCTCCACAACATCGGCCGGCTCTGCCACTGCAGTGCTGGAGGAATGGTGTATTGTTGGAGGCGCTGTCCATTGAATGAAATATTAAGTAAACAGTTCTCCAGATAAATTGGTCTTTCACCCTGTGACTGTTTGTGGGACCTTGTTCTGTGCAAGTTGGATGCTGGGTTTGCTGAGTCAATAAACACAGTCAATAAAGTGGGGGATAGCAATTCCCTGTGAGATAGTTCGACAAAATAAGGAGCTATATCAAATGGAATTATTATCTGCCTCAACATGAACAATGTGATATTGATCGCTACACATCGTGCAGGTATCAGTAACCATTTTGACATGAGGTAAAGCCAAGTGGTGAGCCAATTGCTGCCGTTGTATGCCTACTTTGGTGTTCTTTATTGTGATTAATGTAATGTAAGCTTCTTTTCATATCCTCTTATTTTGTGTGTCGGCCTGGCTCAGCACTTTCATCTCTGAATCAGAAGGTTATGGGCTCAAACAGCAAATACAATGGGACTTAAAAATGANTTTTTTTAATTGAAATAGATTATTGAAACATATAGGACATTGGAGTTGGCCCAGCTACATTGTCGATGAATGAATAATAATATTCTTTACGTTAGCCATAGTGACTTTCACGTCAGGAGGACATCTTTACAGTGTTTAATTTCACAGGATGTACTGTAAAGTGGTTTAACGTTTCATATGAAGCACAAGGGCATCCCTTTAATGCTGCACTTATCTCAGTATTGCACTGAAGTGTCATTCTGCTCCAACGAGCTATAGTTCCGTAGCGGCTTGAATCCATAACCTTCTGACCTAGAGGCAAGAATAGAATGAATTGAGCTAAGTTGCCACGAGGTAACATAGATGCTGCCAAACCCTATTTTATTCTTGAGCTTTAGTTATTTGTCTGTTTATACATATTGCATTTATATTTTCAGAACATTCACTTCTACACCTTCTACCTCATCTGCCCCCTTGCTGAAGTCAGTTAAAGCAAAGAAACTGCACTGTTCCCGGCTAAAGATGCTCTTGAACTGTGAGCAGAAACAGCCGAGCAAGAAAGGAACTCTTAAGGATTTTTTGTCTTCAGTGTAAAACGGTGTTTGTTGAGATTTTGTAATGTTTTAACTAGATGTATGCACGAGTGGGCAGGGGGGATGGGGACAGTGAATTGAAATTGAAGATGAGATGGCCAGTCAGTTGGATGCAAGATGGACCGTGCACTATATATTTATGGCTTTGTGCGAATGGAGCTTTGTGATGTTGCCATGAAACAAGCTTTTAATTTACTGCCAAATTGGAAATGTGTTGCTGGGATTCTTGCAAGAGAAACGCAAGTAGGAAGTGTCTTGCGGCTTCTACGTTTGCATCTGCCGTATTGTGGGCTAATGGGAGGCATGTGCACTGCCTACTAAGTGTTAGGGTAGCTTCCCATCTGTCTTTCTCTTCAATGGGAAAAATAAGGCTGCCGCCAGCCAGCTTTCTGCCTGAGGATGAGAATACAGTACACATTGGCAGCCAGAAGAGAGGGACAAAGAACGAGTGCATTTTCTGGCAGTCTCAGAACAATTTGTACTGTGGCTAGGCTGGAGTATCATCCACCGCCAGGTCACAAAGCCATGGCTGTAGTAAACGTGTTTGCTGTGTTGCCAAAAAAAAAGGCTGCTCGAGTCATTTGTGTTACTGCTAAAATGTAAATCGGAAAGCAATGCAATGCTAAAGCTTTCAGCCATGTTTATAATTCTAAATGTTAAGAGGGCTAAAACTGTGTCGTGTTTTGATCCCCTGTCTTCCCCTCACCCTTTTTTTGAAAACAGCACAGTGCTTCGGAGCACCAGCATGGTGTGCCACAGAGTGGTAAGGTGCCCTTTGGCTGCAGTAAACGTAATGTGTTGCTACAAGGCTGCTCTAACAAATTGCTGTTGCAGCTGGATAAATTTACACCAGGCAGCAATGCAGTGCTCGTGCTTTCAGCCATGTGTATAATTCTAAATGTTCAGGGGGCTAGGTGTCTTGTGTTTTTCTTCTCTCTCTCTCTCCCCTCACTTTTTTAAAGAATAAAAGAGGTGGAGGTTTGGAGCCTTTAGTGTAGCATGCCACATTGTTATAAAAGGTTTAGATTAGTACATGTGATCTTCCTTATACTGGGTTCTCAATCTCTGCTGTGGCAAGTTGCAGCTATCTGACAGGTGTATGTGAAGTCAGCCAGGCTGTTATCCATCACCTGCTATTGGCAAATTGGTGTTGGTTTGGGAACAAATTGGTCAGCCGACCTCTTAGCCAACTGTGATTGCACACAGGGGCACAAGCAAAGACAGAGGGGGGAAGCAGAGAAAATTTCTTATGTTATACTAAAAAGGTGATTTTGTATTTCATAAGTCAACTTTTTATAAACTCAAAATGTAATTTGTTTGTACTGTAACGATTGTGATTGAAAATGTAATTTGTGAAAATATTAAAATACTTGGGGGGCACGATTCTATTGTGATTTTTTTTTCTTTGGTATCATATGTTCTAAATTCAGAACTCTGCAGCTCGTGTCCTCTCTCGGACTGGGCACCGTGACCCTATCACCCTCACCCGGCTCCACCGGCTTCTCTTCCCCCAAATAGAGTTCAAAATCCTTGTCCTCGCCTTCAAAGCCCACCACTGTCTTGCTCCTCCCTACCTCTGTGATCTGCTAACTCCACATTGACCTGGCCGCTCCCTCCGCTCAGCAGGCTCCAGCCCCCACCCAGCCCATCCCACTGTTGGCAGTCAGGTCTTCAGCTTCTCTGCCCCCACCCTTTGGAACTCCATCCAGTAGTCCCTTCGCCTTGCATTGTCCCTTGCCTCCTTCAAGGCACGTCTTAAGACCCTTTTCAACCACACTTTTGGTCACCCTTCTATCCCTAGTCTCCCTGCCCTCCACCCCTTCTAATCCCAGCCCCTTGGTCAGGTCCAAATCCAGCGCCTTGGGACATCCTCCTGATGCAAAAGGCATTATACAAATGTAATTTGTTGTGCTCATCAAGGTGAGGAGGGGAAAGGAACACAGTTGGAAAAACGGCAGATCATAAATTAACTCACGAATAGTAACTCAGAGTCTATAGTGGGAGCTCCTGCAGCTCAGTAACTGGCAGCACGTCACAGCCAAGTTGCACCAATCCTAGGATCTGTTACTGCGGAGCGAAAGTTACCTTTGTTTATTTTTTTCTGTGATCTTGATAAACTTTAGCCTCAGACTCTAAAGCAGCAGTTGCTACTTTACATACATAAGTATTTTTTAATCCATACTCTCACAACAGAATGGACAGGTCACGGGGCAAGTGGAATTATTCACTGACATACCTGACTTGCAGCCATGTAACACTTGCAGGCTGTGATAACCATTTTCAGCTGATGTCTGGGAGACATTTTACTCTTAGACTTGACGTCAGGGAAACTGAATTATCAGACAATCCCTTTATTTAGTTTGAGTAGAACTGTCACTCAATGGGAAAGTGTGTCTGAGCTGCAGACAGAAAAATACTGGCAATGCTCTCACATATTTCATGCTGAGCTGTGTTGCCCACAAGGAAGCTCACAGGGAGTTCCTGTTACCTACCATGCACCTAGTGATCCACCCATATCTTGAAGGTATTGATTCATGCTGCGGGATAATAATGGAGCAAAAACGGATATTTGCAATTGAGGTACAGATGGCAATGATTTAATACAGGTTGGTTCAACTGGCTCCCCGCAGGCCAATTTCATCCTCCTCACCTACCTCCGTTTCATCTGGCCCACCCGCTCCCTCCATAACCCGTCAATGTTATGTCATGTTTCCGAAAAATATTGCTTTTGTGGCCTGTTGATGTTTCTCAAATAATAATAATAATCCTTGCATTTGACATAGTGCCTTATCTTCGAGACCCCTCAAAGCACTTCACAGAATATATTGTAAGTGAATTGACTACTTTGTGGGCGAAACGTAGCAGCCAATGGGCAGGTCACACAGTAGTGTCCCACAAACAGTCGTGGATTGAGTGACCAATTTTTTTTTTTGAAGAATTTATTACCCCCAGAGAAGTGATCCGCTAATCCACTAGCAACTGGGTTTCTACTTACTGATAGGTTAACAGAGTAAGGAAACTTGCCCAACTTTTTGCCCTGCCTGGGAATCGAACCCAGGTCCCTCGCTTGCGAGGTGAGTGCTGTAACGACTGAGCTATAGGACACCACAGGGCATCTGGCCCTCAGCAGCCAAAAGGTTGGACCACCCTGATCTAATAGAATGGAGGAACAGGCTTGATGGGCTGAATGGTCTACATTCCTAGCTAGAGCAGAAACCTCATGCTTGTCAGCTGTTAAGTGACCAACTAGTGACTATCCTCCTGGGGGGAGGTAAGCAAGATATCCTTGGAGCTCAACTGGCTTCACTGTAGAATATTTGAAGTTTCAACCTGTGAATGAAAACATCAAACAAAAATGAATGTAAAATGTGCAGAAGTAAGGCTGTCTTGTGGAATCACCGAACACTGTTTGGAACAGTGATTCTGGACTCCCTATTGCTAACCACATCACCACTTCTCTGCACTCTCTTGAAGGCATTGATTCATGCTGGGGAACAGTTGCCTTCACACAAATAATTCTTCATGTGTGAGTTTAGACCCTGAGTGCCAACAGGCCATTTGAAGGTTACGAGCATCAGAGCTGAATCTGTTGCCCTCACCGTATGTCTGTATGCCCACACCATGCACACACACACTCCAGTGAGCATTAGCTGTTCCTAGCTGGCAGCTCTATACTTGACTTTCATTCTGTGTCTACAAGCCAGACTTTCTTCCCCATGTTTACTTTCAGCCTGAAAATAATGCAAAGTCATATTGGAGTTGCAGTTGTTTTGTGAGTAATAGCAATAATAATCTTTGCAATACTTGCGGGAGGCATACCCCGCGTGAAGGGTGCTATGTAAATGCATGTTGTTGTTGCATTTGGTATAGCGCCTTATTGGTATTTGGTATTTGCCTCCTTCAAGGCACGACCCTCCTTTTTGACCGTGCCTTCAGCTGCCCTCCTGCCTCTCTGCCCTGCCTCATCCCAACCCCGCCCCCCACGCTCGGGTCCCGATCCCTGACTGCTCAGCGCCTTGGAACGTCCTACCGACATGAAAGGCGCTTTACAAATGTAATGTTGTTGTTGTTTTTCGCATCATTGAGACGTCTCAAAGCATTTCACAGGATGTACTGCAAAGTGGTTTGACTGTATTTTGTAGGTGAAACGTGGCAGCCAGTTGCGCACATCAATGTTCCACAAACAGCCGTGGGAGTGAGTGAACAATTTTATTTGGGGGATGTTGGCCAGGCCACCAGGAGAAACACCCTTCTCTTTTCGAATAGTGCCATGGGATCTTGAACAGGCAGAGGGGACCTTAGTCTAACATCTCATCCGAAGGACAGCATCTTCGACAATGCAACAACCCCTCAGCACTTCATTGGAATGTAACCTTAGATAATGTGATTCCAAGTCCCGACAGGGCTCTGAGTCACACTATTCTGACTGAGAAGCAACAGTGCTACCACTGAGCTAGGCTGACGCACGAGTTATGTAAACTGTGTGTAAGAGCATGCATTGTGGGAATTAACAACTGATGAAAATGATTCCATCTTATTCTGTCATCCTTTACATTTGTTATTTATGTAATTCTTTCTGTACGAATGTTTTTGCATGTGCTTTACACAACTCGCAAATTGGAACTGTTTTTTGCCTGCAAATTGAACAAATGAAGTTCATATTGGCCTCTGTGCACTGGAGTGGGTTTTGTACACTTTAAACAGATCAGTTTATCACAGGATTTCCATACTGAACATCAGCCCTACCTGCAGGTTGTACTGCATCAATAAAGAGACACCAATTGCAGTCAACAACAACTTGTATTTATATAGTGCTCCTCATGCAGGATAGCGTTCCAGAGCACTTGACCGTGGTGGAGCACATTACCGAGCCAGGGGGGAGGCAAGATCAATGTGGAAGGTCTTCAGGTGCTACCTGAAGATGGGGATGGAAGGGACAAAGCAGAGGGACTGGGGGAAAGTGTTCCAGAGTTTCAGGGTGTAGTGGCTGAAAATGTGGCCACCGATGGTGGAACGGAGGGCGTGAGGAACAAACAATAGGCCAGAGCAAGCCGAGCAGAGACAGCGCATGATGGGTTGGGGAGTAAGTGGGTTGGAGAGATAGGGAGTTGTTAGGGCATGAATGGATTTGAAGAAAGGTTTGAGGATCTTGAAATTGATCTGTTCAGTGATCGGGAACTGTCTGCTTTACAGAACATCCCTACAGAGTCTGCAAAATGTGATCCTGGACACTCTACTGCTCACCACATCACCATTTCTCTGCACTCTCTTGGAGGTATTGATTCATGCTGAGGAACAACAGGCTTCATACAAATAATTCTTCATGTGTGAGTGTGGATGGGGCAATTGACGGTTTTGAGCATCAGAGCTGAATCTGTTTCTGCCCTCTACACACACACCACATACACACTCCAGCGATCATTAGCTGGTCCTAGTTGGTAGCTCTTTACTTAACTCGAGTTGAATTCTGACTCCACAAGGCAGCCTGTGATTTATCTTTAGTTTTGTTCCATGTTTTCATTTTTTGTTGACATGCTGGAGCTGTGCCATGGCAATGGATGGTGGTTGGGGGGTGGTGGGGGGGAGACAAATTCCCTAAGCTGTTGAATTCCTGGTCTCTCTGCTATGGGAAAGCACCAAACAAAGGTTTTATGCAGGTTTTAACCCAAATGTTACCCTCCCAAACAAGGAGAGTTATCTTTAGGCTTCTTGGCATCCACCTGGCTACTGCACTGCAGCTAATGTGTGGCACAATCGAGCTAAACAGAGGCGAGAGGGAATTTGTATGCTCAGAAACTTTTTTTAAAGCACAATACATTTTGTAAACCCACTCCCCCTCTTGTTCTATCTTCTACCTCCACCCTTACTCATTTTCCTTAACATTTGCAGATTTAGAGGGATGGGAAACATCCAGCAGTCAAGTCTCTACCCTTGTAATTCTGAAACGATCCAGGAGAGGGTGCA